GTCTGTAAACTTTCTCTGCAAGGGCCAGATAGTAAATATTTCCAGCTGAGCAGGCCATACAGTTTGTGTCTACTCAACTCTGCTGCTGTTGAGGAAAAGCAGCCACAGGCAAGATGTAAAGGAGAGGTGTGGCCAGGTTTGGGTCCTTAGTTGTAATTTGGCAACCCCTGTCTAAGAGAAACAAATTCCTACCTTCACTGAGATCTTTTCCAGGGTGCTCCATCTCAATGTCCTGACAGCTGATACCCTGCTTCATTTCTGATTCGTCTCAGGTATTCATTTGTGAAGAGCAATCAATAGCCAAGTCTTCAGATGATTAATATTACTAATTTTTCATCAAAAGAATTAGCTAAAATAATGAGGTTTATCAGAAAATGAATGAACTGAAAGTTAATGTTAAGTCTAACTAGATGTGTAGCCTTGGGTAAGTCACAGCACTACTTTAGACCCAGTTTGGTTTTTATCTGTAAGATTAGGGGGTTCAATTTCTTGATTTCTTTCTTTAAAAAAAACTCTCCTTGTTTTTTTTTTTTTTTTTTTAGCTGAGCCATCCTGCCACCTGTTGGTAGCTCAGCGGCTGCTCAGCTCGGGCTGACTCGAACCGCTGTTGCTCAGAGCTCAAACTCTTGAGCGAGCTCTTAACCAACTGAGCCACTCAGCCGGCCCTTAAACTCTCCTTGTTTTTTACAGAAGTAATTCATGTTGACTGTAGCACATTTAGAAAATAAAGTTAAGCAGAAAGAAGAAAATAAGACACCCCAAAACCCCCACAAACAGCACTGTTAACATTCGGCACGTATCCTTTTGGTTGTCTATCAGTTTAGCTTTTCTATTTCCTTTTCTATATATTTTTTAAATAACAAAAATGGAATAATAATAAACAGCTTTGCAAGCTCAGGTTTTCATTAAGTATAACATATTTTTCTGTTACTATTTTTTTCAATATTGTATTTATTAGCTGAATTCTATTATGTGGATGTACCATAATTCATTTAACCAATCCCGCCTTTTGTTAGGTTGTTTTTAATCTTTTGTTTCTATAAATTACACATCAATGGATATCTTTGTAGACAAAGCTTTGCACACGTCCTTGATATATTATTGCTTTCAACTTTAAATGTTCATATGGTAGACAGTCACTCCAGGTTTGGCCAAAAGAGGGCATTTTAGGCTTTCCTTCTCAGGGCAAGGCCATAAAGCTTTTTCTACAGTATGTAACAAAAATAGTGGTTTTATTGTGAAAATGATTCAATTTTGGATCTTCAGTAATAATCAATAAACCCAAAAGGGAGATTCAAAGTCATTTATTTTTATGTCTAATAAGACTACACACACACACACACACACACACACACACACACACACACCTAATACTCAAATAATGAACTGCTTTGTTGGGACTTAAACCAAAAATGAATAAAAGTTACCTCTTTTGCCCAATTCAAAATAACTAAGATGGTGTTCTGCTTAATGCAGAGACTAAAGTCCCTGCAGAGGACTGTGTTGGATAGATAGTGACAAATATGCAAGAAGGGAAACTGCCAAAAACACTGTGCCAGAGAAAAGGCCAGAATGTGCAGCTCCCTAGAAATACAGATTTGAGGGCAACATTGAATGGAGTCTTGCCTGGACCATCACTTACCTATCACCTGCCAGCCACGTTTTGGTAGGTAATAACTGGTAGGTTCTGTTAGAGCTTGAAATAATTGTCTTATGTGTATTTTTTTTTCCACCGAGAGCATATATTCCCAAGGGTAGTGATCTGCCTGTACTTCTTAGCACACCCAATTACACCCAGCAAATTCCTAAGTACATGGAGGTACTCAGGTAGTTGTCACTCAATGCTAATGACAAGTTTCTATTCTAAGTATAAATACAGATGATTGCTGAGAGGTAGCGTGGTGGTGAAGGGTGTAGGCTCTGGAACCAGCTTGCTGGGATTTGTACCCTGACTCTGTCACTTACGAGCTATATTAGGTGCTTTATCTCCCCGAGCCAATGTTTGTAAAATGTAGGTAGTAATGGTACCTCCGTCAGATGGTAATTTAGCGAATTACATGAGTTTAAACACATAAGGAAGTTAACATGGGGCCTGGACTATGAAAAACTCTTGATAAATGTTACCAGAATGATGACTTGACTAAGTGATTACTAAGATTTTTTCCTTTATTTTTAGATTCTGTGATTCTTCTGGCTGATGCCCTCTCCAAGCTCCTCCCGTAGCCACTGAGGAAACCAGCTTCTCCCTGGCTTTGCAGGTTCACAGCCATGGCTCTGCCGGCTCCAGGGAGCTCTGATAGTCACGGGCCACATGTTTACCCTGGTGCCTGTCCAGTTACCTCTTTTAAATTTTACTCCAGCCGTCTCTCATTTGTTCAGTTGGAGTTCCATTTAATTCCATCAAATCACATCATTTCACAAATACAGTCATCTTCAGAGAGATGATCTAAGACGTCATGTGGAACAGAAACGCTTTTCTTCACAGGGCTCAAAGAATGTGCTCAGAGCAAAAGAATAAGGTTTGTGAAAGGAGAAATGTCAGAAAGGATGGCAATACCACAGCATCTCCAGGCTAGCTATGCAGTGGTTTCCTCTCCTGCGTCAGCTAGTCTGTGTGGGGTTCTCCATCTGTCCCTATCCCAGAACACTCTCACTCATTAATAGTGGCGGCGACAGAGGCGGACAGGTGTGGGGAATTAAAACCATATATTCCCTTAGGGGCAAGTAGTGGAGTAAGGCTGGGTTAGAGCTTTAAAATGTCCTTCTCTCCCATTCTGATGGAGGGGTATGTGACCTCCTCCCTACAGAATTGGTGACATAAGACTCATTCAGGAAATAAGCAAAAAAAAAAAAGAAAAAAAAGAAAAGAAAAAAGTGAAGCTGAAGCTGATTTTATTGCTATTTGGAGGCTGGAGCAGTTAGTAACAAGAAATGGGTCTTAAAAGACAGCTGAGCCCTTAATGAGGCTGGAATTTCCCAAGTAGAGGAGAGAGGGGTTGGGTTTGTAGGCACGAGGAAGAAGCAGAAAATGAAGGGAGGTGAGGAGACAGGGAGGAAGTGTACTGTACACAGAGTAGTGAGGCTGCCCTGAGGCAGAATGGCTCAGCTGGAAAATGTTGGGCCCTGGAGAAGAAGGCTTCTGAACAAAGGAGTGACTTAGGACATAGCCTAACAGAGAACTGAGACGGCAGCAGCATTTGTTTTAAATGAAGGGAACAGGGCTGAGGGAGTGCAGTGGGAAGAATGATATTTGGGTCAGGCTTGGACCTCAATACCTGGTCACCTCTGTGGCAGTAGCTGGGGGCCTTGTGTATGTGACTTGACCTGCTGAGCCTGTTTCCTCACCTGTAAATGATATGTCAGAGTTTTCGGGGAGGATTACCATTCACCAAATATTTTACTGGGTTCCCAAAATGTGTCAGACAATTTGCTGGGTGTCAGGGGTACAAAAATGGACAAGAAAAGACATAGTCTCTGTCTTCCAGGAACTTACCTTTAGTAGAGAAGACAGTAAAAAAGTGAATAAAGATTAAAAACTGCAGTGTGATAAGGTGATACTGTGAAGGAAGGTCGGCAGGAAGGGTATCCAGTTTTCAGTTCAAGGGGTCAGGGAAAGTCTGTCTGAGGAAGTGGAACTTATTGAGGCCAGAGAATTGAGAAGGAGGATACCAGGTAAAGAGCAAAGGGAGAAACATTCTGGTGAGAGGAGTAATATGTGCAGAGGAGGGAGAAGCTTGAGGAATCCCTGGAAATGCAGAGAGCCCTACAGCACAGGGGTGAGGTAGGGAATGGGGTATGAGGAGATGCAGAGGAGGGGAGGGGCAGGACATGGCAGGAGTCTGGGTCCTGTTCTCAATGAAATGGTAAGTGGGAGGGTCATGTCCAGATGTGTTTTTTTGTTTTTTTTTTTTAAAGATTTTTTTTACTGGGGAGTTGGGGGAGGGAATAACGTTGGGGAATCGGAGAAGGGGAACAGACAAGTTGCTGTCCTTTTGTTCTTCAGTGTAGTTGTGGAGGACATCGCTTCACTGGCCCATGTTGGTATTGTGATCATTACGCTCTCCCCGGCTGAGGCAGATTGGTCACCGGCCTGGCCATTGGACTGCCACTCACGGTACCTCATGGCAGCCCACTGCAGCCCTACTGCAGCCTATGCTGTCGCCAGTGACTCACAGCAGCCCAGCTCCAGGTCGAGCTGTTGTTCACCATCTTAGCTATAGAGGGCGCAGTGTCACTTGGCCCATGTGGGATCCGAACCGGTGGCCTGTTGCTCAGAGCTCGCGCTCCCAAGCCAACTCTTAACCAACAAGCCACTTGGCCATCCCCAGATGTGGGTTTTAAAGCTATTATTATGCTCTGTGCTAAACAGAATCTGACAGGGCAAGAGTAGTAATGGGGATACAGCTGAGGAGGCTATCTGCTGCCATCTGTGAAAGATGGGGAGGTCTTAGATTAGGGTGGGGCAGCGGAGCTGGAGGGAAGTGGATGGATTCTAGAAATATTTTGAAGGTAGAATCAAAGTTCTCTTATGTCAGTTAGAAGAGGGAGGAAAAGGGTGAAATCAAGCACAACTTCTGGCTTGAGCGACTAGGTAGAAAATACAATTACTGAGATGGAGAGACTGGAGGAGATATAGTTTTCAGGCCAGGGATGAGATAACATATAAAAAACCTTGATCAGTGCCTGGTACATAGAAGACACTCAGTAAATGTGAATTACTATTATTAGCTGGTCATTCTGTATTCTATATCAATGGTTTCTAGAAAACAGAGGGAATCAGTAACTTTGACTTAAACATAGTATACATAAGCATGGACTAGAAGAGCAGGATTCTGAAATAAATGGATGGTGGCATGTCTCTCTGAAATAAATTACAGCAAAAACTTCATCAAGAAATGATGCACAGAGGGGCCTACAGCCCACTGAAGAAAATGGTTCATTAGCTCACCCTCTGAGGTCTTACTTCTTCTCTGAAATCACAGTAACAAAAATGTGTAAGCTACCAGATGCTTCACATTTAAAGCTTTTATTTTGAAAAATAAAATACAAAACTCATTAAGTTGTAAATGTATACGGTAATTCCTCAGCTTCTCAGAAATGATACAATGAATTATTTAAATAATTAAGATATTTAGTATTATCCACATCAATACATTTAAACAGGTACAAGTGTTCTAAAAAACATTAGAACATGTACAGACAGTCTATTCCAACATGAAACTGCCAAATTTTACTTAGAATCCCATTTTTAAACCCTCCCCTTGAAAACAAAGTTTGGAATCTGGTAAGAACAGATAAGGATCAGGGCAGTTGTCCCTGCTGGGCTTCTTATCTGGTTGTGGATGCAATTAGAATAGAGAGCGCTGTCCTCAGGAAATAGACCACTCAGGAAGGCCCAGACGTATGCTGACATGCCACCCTCAGGGGAGGAGCCTGGCAGATGAACGGGAGATGGGACCATGGTACACACACTCCATGGATCTCAGGTGGGGACAGCCAGTCCTGGAAATTCCCTTCTGTCTTCCCTAGGGCAAACAAGAGGAATGTGGTTATAAGCGTGAAGTCACAATTCCTTCTGCCCCTGCTCCACACCACCTCCTTCCCAGCTGCGGGCCTGGAATGTGCCAGGTAGATGGGCAGGGGTATCAACAGTTACGAGAACAGCTGCCTCAGTTGAACTGCCTGAGAGATGCACTCTCCCTCAGTCTGGGATGCTTTGAGATGCCTGCCAGTAGCTTCAATGTGCAAAACACAGAGGGCAGCCAACGTGATAGCTGTTCTTGCCCATTTCTAAATGACTGCGACTGCCACCTGCCCCTGAAGCTACTGCAGGGGCACTGGTAGGGACGTTGAGTGTCCAAGGGTCCAACATGCTGATTCTTCCTTTGAAAAAGTGGACACTAAGGTTTTACAGGAAGCTTTGGATAACACAGTGACTGTCATTCAAATGCCAAAGGGATCCAAAAGACAACAAGACACACTAGTATCTGTCCTGAGATGCTCTGTTGTCTTCCTGGCTTCTCCTGGGTCCTTCTCTCACCGCAAGTGGCACCTTCAGGCCTCGATACACAAATAAGAATGAAATGCTCCCATGGGGCCAACTCGAAGGCTGGGGTCAACCTGACCCAGCATTCTGTCTCGTAAAACAAAGACTGTGCTTTTGGGGATCATTTCTATAGTTTGTTACTAGAGAAGTTTCTTTGAATGGGTTTTGTAAAATGACTGGTCAATAAATGAATCCCTGTGTGCATATTTCGGGGAGGGAATTTAAAAATTTTGAAAGTATTTTGCATAAACAAATTATGCAAGACCTGAGCAGTGCTGTACCACGTGCATGGCCATGGAGTGTAAGTCTGACACTTAGCATTTGTTCCTTAGTAAACGGCATGGCAGTGTCCCTGTGTCCCTGTGCTCTCTACCATCCAATAACACACACCAAGGCATAAAAACCTCCTATTCAGATTATTCCACTTCAGTTTTCTCCTTGGTACAACAGGGATAACACCACCTGCTTGCCAGAGTGGTTCGAAACTTGAATGAACTCATTCATATATGTATATAGAAATAATACATATACATTTGTCAATGATGTTATATATCATATATATCATGTACATATTATATATATAAAATGCTTGGTATTTTATGCTTGGTATGGAGTATGCACTCAATACATGTTATTATATACTATAAAAATAAAACAAGCAAAACTATAAGAAAAAATCAAATTAAAAAAAATGTTTTCAAGTTCCAAATGACCTAAGGCATCACCACATCATTCAGAGCAAAACAGAATCTACAAATGTGGGAGAAGATGTAAGCTGAGCAGCCACATCAGGAGATCTGGCCTCAGAAACCAGCTTTGCCCCTGTGCTTGACGGTCACTCAGCTAGAAAGGGGCTACTCAGACGTGGTGGGCCTGCCCACACTGTAGCCCTAAGCTACAAGAGATAACATAGGTTACAATCACAAGACATCATAATACACTAAAATCAGCAAGGGCAGGCTTGGAAAACAAGCCAACTAACCCCCCAAAATATGAGTACAAAATTATCTGCATGTCCAACACACAGAGAAAGCATAGGATGGTAGAGGAAGCACTGGTGTTCTTTAGCCTGGGTTCTCCTACCTGTCATGTGACCTTGACCAATAACCTACTCTCTAGGGTCAGTTTCCATATCTGCAAACAGAGGGTTGGGGTTGTTCAGGTTTCTTTCAGTTAAAATGTTTTATCATTTATCGTATTGAAAATAACTAACATTATTAGAGTGCTAAAATAGTTTGCTCAGTGCCACACAGAGCCGACTCCCACCCACTCTGACTCCAGAGCTGTGCTCACAACTTGGCCAAGCTGCCTTCCTTGAGAGCCTAAGCAGGGAAACCAAAAACCCAGCAATGTCCCCCAACCCTCACCTCATGTCTGTAAGAGGTTCCTGGCTCTGCTACTCCATTTGCTCAGTCTGTCAAAGGAAACAAAAGATGTTTTCAAGTCCTTGAAGTTTGGTCAGCATGAGAAGTAACTGCTCCTGTGAAAATAATCAGGGGTAGCTTGCAGGCTCTGACCGGAGACTTTCTAATGAACTCAGTCTGCTACTGTTGTATAATAAAGAATCTTGACTGGCCTTTGTCCCTGGCTCCTGGTAGGGTGACTAACTCCTTGGAATTTTCTGGTTTACAGGAGTGTCTGTTATTCATGGGCCCCTTGGATCATAACTGAGTTTACACTAAGAGACGTGTCATGGGGCTGTTCACCAGAAATACCAACTCTGTAATTAGAGGGTTGGGGCATTGAGCCAGCCCAATCGCTGGATGAGGGAGTGGACTGGGGATTGAGATCAATTACATGGCCAATGATTCAATCACCCATGCCCACGTAATTAGACCCCAGTAAAAAGTCTGGATGCCAAAGTTCAGTGGAGCTTCCTGGTTGGTGAACACAAAAGTATGCCGGGAGGGCGAGTACCCTGATTCTATAGGGAATGGGCAAAGAAACTCTTTGTTTGAGATCCTCCCAGACCTTGTCCTATGTGTCTCTTCATTTGGCTGGTCCTGATTTGTATCTTTTATAAATATAAAACTGTAGTCATACTTACAGCGCTTCCCTGAGTTCTGGGAATCATTCTATTGGGTTGTTGGAAAAGTCATGACACATTTTTGCAACCAAAAACATAGACAAAATACGTTATGACTTTTCTGACAACCCAATAGCTAAATATCAAACCTGAGGGTTCTGTAGGCTTCAGTGTTCTCATTTATTAGAAGTTAAACCAATCTTTTATAGGCTCCTCTTCTAAGTATGTGTGTGGAATGCACTAAATGAAACTACCAGAATAAGGGGCTTGAAGTGCCTGTTATACCTTTTGCCCATTTAAAAAAGTCTTTTTCTTATTCATTTGTAGAAAGCATCTATATTCCACAGATGAATCATTTGTTTCAATATTTTTCTCCCACTTATGGCATACTTTTTTTACATTCTTTATGATGCTTTCTAAGAAGTAAACATTCTCAATTTTAATGTAGTCCATCTTATCCATTTTAAAATTAATGGTTAGTGTTTTTTAATAACTTAAGAAATCCTTCCCTCTCAAGGTCACAAAGATATTCTCCTTTATTGTCTAAAAACTTTATTATTTTGCCTTTCACATTTAGGTCTATAATCCACCTGAAAATGATTCTGTATATGCTGTGAAGAGGGGTGTTCCTTTCATTTTAGTCTTAAATGTGCCTTCTTGACTCCTTCAGACATTATGCAAACAGCCTTGGGATTTGACATTCCTTCAAGACTCTGCCTCTTGGATGATTCTCTGGCTCCAATTGCCATAGCATGTAAGTTAGCGAGAGCCTGTTCATGAATCCACCCAGGTTTCTGGAACATCATGCCCAGCCCAGGCTCAGGGCCCTGTCCCCCCGAATCTGTAAAAGTTGATCAGTCTTTTGGCTAAATCAGCAATTCCTTGAGAATATTTTTGTTGTTGTTTATTTTTAAATTTTTTCAATTACAATTGACACACAATATTATATTAGCTTCAGATGTACAACATAGTGATTAGACATTTACATAACTTACAAAGTGATCACCCCAATAAATCTAGTACCTATCTGACACCATATAGTTATTACAATATTATTGACTATATTCCCTATGCTGTAATTTATATCCCTGTGACTATTTTGTAACTACCAATTTGTCTTTCTTAATCCCTTCCCCTTTTTCACCCTGACCCTCAACCCCTCTCCCATCTGGCAACCATCAGTTTGTTCTCTGTGTCTATGAGTTTGCTCTGTTTTGTTTGTTCATTGATCTTGTTTATTAGACTCCACATATAAGTGAAATCGTGGTATTTGTCATTCTCTGTCTTATTTCACTTAGCATAATATCCTCTATGTCTATCCATACTGCCACAAATAGCAAGATTTCCTTCTTTTTTATGGCCAAGTAATATCCTATTGTGTGTGTGAGTGTGTACATACATATTTACACATCTTTATCCAATTTCTACTGATGGACACTTAGGTTGCTTCCATATCTTGGCTATTGTAAATAGTGCTGCAGTGAACACAGGGGTGCATATATGTCTTTTTGAATTAGTGTTTTGGGTTTCATCAGATAAAAACCCAGGAGTGGAATTGCTGGGTCATAAGGCAGTTCTATTTTTAATTTATTTGAGGAACCTCCATACTGTTTTCCATAGTGGCTGCACCAATCTGCAGTCCCACCAACAGTGCACCAGGGTTCCCTTTTTTCCATATTCTCACCAACACTTGTTGTTTGTTGATTTATTGATGATGGCCACTCTGACAGGTGTGAGAAGATATCTCATAGTGGTTTTTATTTGCATTTTTCTGATGATTAGTGATGTTGAGCACCTTTTCATGTGTCTGTTGGCCATCTGTATGTCCTCTCTAGAGAAATGTCTCTTCAGGTCCTCTGCCCATTTTTTAATCGGATTGTTTGTTTTTTGGTGTTGAGTTGTATGAGTTCCTTATATATTTTTTATATTATTCCTTATCGGATGTATTGTTGGCAAATATTTCCCCTGAGAATATCTGTTTTTCTTTACTCCTGAGGACTTGCTCCTATTTCTCACCCGTAGTAGAATTTCAGTAAACATTTGTTGAAAAATTGAAATGAATGAATGGATGGATTAAAATTAAATTATGCTAATATGAATATGCCTTGAAAGTTGTTTGCAATTCTCCAGTAATATGTACCAATTGCTCACTGTTATCAGACAAAGGTCTACGAAGACAGCCTTCAACTCCTGTGAGACACAGTTTCTTCTGGGTGAGCCCAGCCCACTCATTGCAGGCTTGCTTCCAGCAACACAACTTCACATTGTCTGTCAGGTGATATGTTTCCCTCACAACCCACACCTGAAACATTTCTGAAAACTAAGTTCAGTGCTGAGTCGTCATTTCCTATTAACAAGCTAATCACCGACAGCAGCAGCCTGGAGCAACATGTACTATCACTATGCTAGAAAGGAAAATATTCTGCTGGGCTCAAGCAGTAGTTATCAATTTTTTCCCCACTGCTATAAAAGAATGGCAGGCAAGGCTCAGGTGCAGTACACTATGGGCTACTCTAAGAATATCAGTCATAATACAATTTGTTTCTCTTTAGCTCAATAAACAATATTGGAACCTGAGTGAGAATGTGACATTACAAGAATAACTCTGGATTTTTTATTTTTTAAAGATTTTATTGGGGAATTGGGAGAGGGGAACAGTGTTGGGGAATCAAGGAAGAGGAATAGACAAGTTGCTGTTCTTTTGTTCTTTAGTCCAGTTGTGGAGGATGTCGCTTCACTGGCCCATGTTGCTATTATCATTGTGCTCTTCCTGGGTGAGGCAGTTCGTCGCCTGCCATTGAACGGCCGCTCACGGCCACTCACGCCGGCTGCCAGCCACTCATGGTAGCTTACAGGAGCCCACTGCAGCAGGGGCTGCAGCCTATGCCATTGCTGGCGACTCACGGGAGCCCAGATCCAGGTTGAGCTGTTGTTCACTATCTTAGCTGTAGAGGACACAGAGTCACTGGCCCTAATGTGGGATCTGAACTGGGGCCCTGCTGCTTAGAGCTGGTGTCCCAAGCCAACTCTTAACCAATGCGCCACTCGGCCAGCCCTGGATTTGTTTTAATTATTTTTTTAAAAGTAAAAGAGGGGAGGGGGGATGGGGAGCTAGGTGAAAAGGGAAAGGGGTTAAAAAATACAAATTGGTAGTTACAAAATAGTTGCAGGGATGTAAAATACAGCATAGAGAATATAGTCAATAATGTTGCAACAACTATGTATAGTGACAGGTGGGTACTTGACTAATGGTGGTGGTGGTGGTGTCACTGCATAAATTACATCTATGTCTGACCATTATACTGTATACCTGAAACTAATATAAAATAATACTGAATGCCAAAAAAAGTAACAGTGCTGGCACCTCTACATTGAAGAAATTGTTACTGTGAACCACTGCTCACAAATACTCACCCAGAGTACAATGATGAATCTTTGGTCACACCATAATGTTTTTATTTGACAGAAACTGATGTATACCAAAAGAGATGTGTGACACGGAACATTGTCATGATGGAGGATGATTTATGGTACTCTTGAAAACACACCTTTCCTCAACAGTAGCTAATACCTGACTGGCTGCACCAAACAAGTTGCAACTTGTCACACTGTTACTAAGGTTCAACGCGCTGCTTCCCGTATTAAAGTCCATGCCTTTCTGATGGATGGCACTTGACAACAGCACTCACTGTGTTTTGTGATCACAGCGGAAAAGCTCCATGTCACACATCGCTTCTGGTATGACAATTTCTGTCAAATAAAAATATTATGCTGTGTCCTCATCCACCTTATTCACTGATCTGGCACCACGCGGCTTCTGGCTATTTCCCAAAGTCAAAATGATTCAGGACATCGAAGTAGCCACCACAGCACAACTAAAGACACTCATGAAAGAGGACTTCCAGAACTGCTTCAGAAAGTGGCAAGAATGATGGGATAAGTGTGTTTGAAGCAAGGAGGAGTATTGTGAGAGGGATTAATGGCAATGTGTCTTTTACTGTAATAACTTTTTAAATTTAAACATTCATGGTAGTTTTTTTTATCATATCTTGTTGTATAATTTATTCACAAGTCCTCTAGGCTCTAAATGAAAAAAGGTTAAAAGGCCATGAATGTATATGTAATAAGAACAAGTGTGGCTGTACATTTTTATTTCCAGGTAGATACCAGATCCTGGAGCAGATACACAGGGCAGGTTCCCTGTATGTGGAGTACTGTGTGGCTTGGAAGACCCCAAGCAATCAGATTTTAGTTACTAATAAAGTATTTCCCTAGTTTTAGAAGACACAGAGCTCTCTGAAATTAAGAACGTAATAAATTATTGCTAAAACCAACAGTTACCAGAGGCCAGTCTTTCTATCACCAGAACATATTATCTATATCACTTTAATGCAAGAGCTCAGCTATTACACACCCAGAGGAGGAAACAGATACAGTACCTGAGGTTTTTCTTTAAGAAATTCAGGTAGCTGAAATTCTCCTTTATAGACCTGGAAAAACAAAGCCAACTGTGAGTTTAAGGAAACGGTGCTGTCGTCATCACTTCAGAATGCCTTTGGTCTCTGATGTGCATGCGCTCACTGCTGCATTCTTGAGCGTTTCAGGACTGTAGGGAAGCCGGTCAGTTCTAGAGCAGCCAGAGCTGAAGGACCAAGTGAAACCCCTTTCACTCTGATCCCAACTGCTCCGCACCTGCCTGTGTGCTTCCAAATGTGGGCTGGCTGGGAGAGGGCTCAGAGTATATGAAGGAGAAAAAACAGCATACCAACATTCCAAGTGCCAATCATTTTAGCTGAGAGAAAAAGCAAACCCTAAACCACATCTCTGAAGCAACCAACACAGAATTCCCACAATTTAGGAGGAGGCTCCTGACTTCCTTTTGAAATCTTCAACCTTAAAGCCCTGGACTGAACCCAACTTTTCTCAATGTACCCAATAATCCCATAATAATTTGAATATTAGATGATTCTTAAAATGATAATTTTAATGTCATAATCTCATAATTAAAATTTTATTCTTTTCTATATATAAAATTATGTTTCTAATACCAGAAATTAGGAAATAATTTTTAAAAATACCATTTATTTTAACAACAAAAAACCCCACCAAATACCTAGGAATAAATCTAATAAAAGATGTATAATACAAAAAACTATAAAACATTATTGAGAGAACTAAAAGACCAAGTAGACAGAGAGACATACTACTTTCAGGGATTGGAAGATTCAATATAGTAAATACACCCATTCTCCTCAAAGGATTTCCATTCAAAATTCTATAATATGCTTTTTTGGGGGAGGGGAAGGGCTAATTTCAAGCTTTTAAAAGTAATATGTAAATGCATAAGGCCAAAAGTAATTAAGGTAATCTTAAATAGAAGAACAAAGAGGGAGAGTGCTTATTCTATCACATATTAAGACATTATTATACAGCTATAATTAAGCAAGATTATAAAGCTATATATCTATATCTACATATATCTACATATATATTAGCTATAATTAGACAATAAGGTTTTGGTATAAGGATAGACAAAGATATTAAGAAAACAGAATGAAGAGTCCAAAAACAGACCCTTCAAACCAAGTATACAGATGTTTGGTTTAAGACAAAGGTGATGCTTAAGGTAGTGCAATTAGAATAAATAAATGTGTTTTATGTATATATGATATAGTATGCAGCAATAAAAAATGAACTACCACTCTACCAACTATATAGATAAATCCCAACACATACTGATAAGGGGGAAAGCCAGACCCTACAAAATAATATAATACACATATCCATTTAAAACTTTTAAAGCTCATAAATAGGCAAAACAACCCTATGATGTTAGAAATCAGGGTACTGTTTACTCTGGGGAGGAGGGAGGTGGTGGTGGGGAGGAGGATGGAGGCGCGAGCAAAACAGATTCTATTTTCATATGGGTTCGGATTATGAAGGTGTGTTCATTTTATAATCATTTATTGAGCTATGATTTATGCACTTTGCTGTATCTATTGTGGACAGAAAAGGGACCACATATTAAAATAAATCTGACAAGCTCAGGAGATTAAAATAACCATATAGGCTGGCATGAACATAAAAATTCCTAACTAAGGTGGGCCATGGTGGGAAGTCACATCCTTGGCCTGTAGCTTCCTTGATGAAGGTCAATCTTTACCTTAAGCCTGTCTGTCATCTTTTTGTATCTAAGATAACATACCCATGCAATATCACAGTAATCTCTTTTTCCAGAACACCCAGGAGGCACAACCCACCACACCAGAGCAGGAAACTACAAAACCCCTCATTGTTATCTTGTTCCCCAAATACTATCTCTATGTGCTGTAAAATGCTAGTAACTATCCTGTACCCACCAATGTAAAAGAAGTGTGTCTCTCCATTTTACTTTTTATTCAATCCCAGAGATTTCCCCACTTTGCTTTCTTCCATTTCCTTAATCTACAACCAATAGATTTCATGTAACCTTCCTCCTTCGATTCTACTGTATAAAATAAGTTGCAAAACAGCCATTTTCCAGAGCATTTTCTCAATCTGTATAGACTTTGCTCCCGGCAATTGTCATCAGTTTGGCTCAAATAAACTCTTATAAGCTAGTCCAGTTGTGGAGGATGTCGCTTCACTGGCCCAAGTTGGCACCATCATTGTGCTCTTCCCGGGTGAGGCAGATCAGTCGCCGGCTTCTGGACGGCCGCTCACTGCGGCTGCTGGCCGCTCACGCTGGCTGCTGACTACACACGGTAGCCCATGGCAACCCACTGCCACAGGGGCTGCAGCCTACGCCGTCGCCAGCGACTCACGGCAGCCCAGCTCCAGGTTGAGCTGTTGTTCAGCATCTTAGCTGTAGAGGGCAGTGTCACTGGCCCTCATATGTGGGATCTGAACCGGGGCCCTCTGGCATCCCAAGCGAGTTCTTAACCATCGCGCCACTCGGCCGGCCCTCAAATAAACTCTTATAAGCTTTCTCTTAGGCTGGATGTTTTTTCGTTGGTATTACATTATGTACTTCAATAACAAAATTGAATAAACTAAGACAGTAGCTTAATGCTAAAAATTTATTACACGCACACACACACACACACACACACTTTAAGTACAAAGATGTTTGTTTCAACACTGTTTACAACAGCAGAAATACTGGAAATTATATCAATTGAAAGTAAAGAAGGTCTCCACTAGCACAATCTGGTAATTGCTGGACTCAAGAAGCTACAGTAAGAAACAATGGATTGTTATTGGGAAAGAGTCACTGGGTAGCCCTTCAGAACACAGAGAAATCTTCTAAAGGTGTCAGGGGAAAAATCTTTTGTTTTAATTTTTTAATTCAATTAAAAAAAAGATTTTATTGGGGAATCGGGGAAGGGGAACAGACAAGTTGCTGTCCTTTTGTTTTTCAGTCTAGTTGTGGAGGACATTGCTTCACTGGCCCATGTTGGTATTAACATTGCACTCTTCCCGGGTGAGGCAGTCACTCGCTGGCCATTGGATGGCCGCTCACAGCAGCTCACGAAAGCTCATGCCCGCTGCCAGCCAGCCCCACTGCAGCCTATGCCGTCATCGGTGACTCACGGCAGCCCAGCTCCAGGTCGAGCTGTTGTTCACCATCTTAGCTTTAGAGGGTGCAGCATCACTGGCCCTCAGGTGGGATCCAAGCCAGGGCCCTGCTGCTCAGAGCTGGCGTCACAAGTCAACTCCTAACCAACGCGCCACTTGGCTGGCCCTAATTCAAATTTTTATTTGTTTACATTTAGGTACTTATTGTATTATAAAGGAATTTTAGCATTTATTTTTTAACATATTATGGTACAAGAAATTTTATGTAACAAATATTTACAAAACACAAGAACAGATACAAAGCACAAGGAATTTTATGTGCCGGTAATAAATTTACGATATTTTTTCCCTGAAAGTTTGGGCCCAAAACGTGGATGCGCATTATAAATGGGAGTGCATTATACATGGCAAAATATGGTACATAATTTTTGGTCAAAGACATATTCTGTACATTTTCATTATTATAACAATATAAATATCACATATTTACTTTTATTTTAAAAAGATTTTTATTAAAATATAGCTTACAATATTATATTAGTTTCAGGTGTACACCATAGTTATTCAACATTTATATACCTAAAGAAGAGAATCCCATAGTAAGTGCATGAACTATCTGACACCGTACCACGCGTTCACAATATTATTGACTATATTCCCTGTGCTGTATGTTACATCCCCATGACTTATTTGTTTTACCCTGGAAATTTGAACCTCTTATTCTCCTTCACCTTTCCCCCTCTTCTTAAATTTTCAATTACAGTTGATAATATTTTATATTAATTTCAGTGTACAGCACAGTGGTTAGACATTTATATAATCTAAGAAGTGATCCCCCTAACTAGTCTAGTATCCAACTGGCACTACACATAGTTGTTACCATATTATTGACTATATTCCCTGTGCTTTACTTTACTTCCTCAAGACTATTTTGCAACTACTAATTTGTACTTTTTAATCCCTTCACCTTTTTCATCCTGCCACCCAAACCCCATATCATCTGCCAAGCATCAAAACATTCTCTGAATCTATGAGTTTGTTTCTATTTTGTTTATTTTGTTCTTTAGATTCTATATATAAGTGAAATCACATTGCATCTGTCTTTCTCTGTCTGACACTCCACTCAGTACAATATCCTCCAGGCCCATCCAATGCTGCTGCAGATGGCAAGAACCCATTCTCATCCCTGGCCAAACAATATTCCATTGTATACATGTACCACCTCTCTTTATCCATTCTTCCAACTACAGAAACCCAGGCCTCCACATCTTGGCTATTGTAAATAATGCTGCAATGAACATATGGATGCACACATCCCCTCAAAGTAGCATTTTAGGTTTCTTCAGATAAATACCCAGAAGTGGAATTACTGGGTCCTTCTTTGTCTCTTGTTATAGCCTTTGTTTTAAAGTCTATTTTGTCTGGCATAAGTATTGCTACACCAGCTTTTTTCTTTTTCTATAAGTATTTTCATGAAATATCTTTTTCCATCCCTTTACTTTCAGTCTGTGTGTGTCTTTCGATCTGAAGTGAGTCTCTTGTAGGCAGCATATGTAAGGGTTTTGTTTTCTTATCAATTCAGCCACCTTATCTACTGATTGCAGCATTTAATCCATTTACATTAAAAGTAGCTGTTAATAGATAGTAGTTATTGCCATTTTATTTTTCAAACTTTTGATCCTCTCCCCCTCCTCCCTTTTTAAAGAAGTCCCTTTAACATTTCTTGCAATACTGGTTTTGTGGTGATGAACTCCATCAGCTTTTCTTGCCTGGGAAGCTCTTTCTCTGTCCTTCAATTCTAAATTATAGCCTTGTTGGGTAATCTTGGTTGTAGGTTATTGCTTTTTATCACTTTGAATATTTTGTGACAATGCCTTCTGGCCTGCAAAATTTCTATTGAGAAATCAACTGACAGTCTTATGGGAGCTTCCTT